CTACCCTTGTATTTTTTTACGACACCCAACCCTTTGTAGCATTAGATCTTTCTATAAGCGCCGGCGAGGCTGTCACCTTGCATGCTGAGTTTGCGCTTACATTTGAGAACGAACTGAGAAAGATACAGAGAGCCCAAAGAAACGAACAACTGAGCATCTTTTGTGGGAGAGATATCTTTGATTACATATTAGCAGCAAATGAAGAAGGGGGATTATATTTTGATGGAATAGTAGGGGTAAACTACACAGTACAACATAATGAGATCAGTTTATTTAATATCGTTTTTGAGATATACTATACAAGTAAAGGCTTTGTTGATGAGGATTGGATGGGGTATCTTGATACAGTAGAGGAACTTCATGAAACACGAAACGACATTGCAAGCGACCCCAGAAGTGTAGCGTATCAAGGAATCTTAGGGCATACCATATCCTTGTACGAACCCACAAGAGTACGACCCCTTTACCTCTTCTTCCATATATCGCGTGATGATGTTTTTGCCAGTGTTTCCCAGGCAAGTTTTAATATTCATAGCTCGCTTATATACAGTCCTTTTGATACTAGTTTTCTCTGGGAAACAGGAATAGAATGGTTGGCTGTCGAGCTACTACGCATTGGATCCTCAGTGCAGTATGCATTTGGTCTAGGTAATGCAGCGTTTACAGAGCTATCGCATTATTTGAATATAGAGTTTTATACCTCAATACAATATTAATATAAGGAGTATACACATGAACAGCGTAAAAACAAAGAAGAAAAGAAAGAAAAAAATACTCGTATACAGTACAGTACTCAGTTTGCTTGCTGTGGTAGCCCTTATAGGGTATTGGATTTTCTTCACCCCAAGTGAGGAGCTTTCCCCGGAAGGGAAGGAGATACTTAGAGTCTATGAATTAGATCCCACAAATATACAGTCGCAAGAAGTATTCATAGAATCTGCTATTCGAAATCAGGAAGTATTGGAATTTGGGTCTAGGTTTAAGAGCAAAGACTTAATTCAAAGAGCTGTTACGGTAGCGAATGAGTATCTAAAGTCTAGGGAGAACGTAGCAGTAAAAATTGCACTTACACGTATGCATTATCAATTAGCCGGGATAGCAATTGACGAAGGAAATATAGCACAGGCTCTTATGGGGGTAAGCAGTGGAATTTCCTTAAGCGAAGAACTACTAGAAGAGTACAGCGATAATATAATACTGCGCATATATGTGGCAATAAATTATCTTTCTATTCCCGAGATGTTCCTAAAAGCAACTGATGGTATCATGCATCTTAATTACTTAGTGGATAAAATATCAGATAAGAACTTCGACCTAAAAGCGGCAGTAGATGGTGATATGTATTACTTAGGAGCTCTCAGGAATGCTCTTGATAGGGGTATTGCGCATGCAAAGCAAGAGGAAGATAAGAATTACTTTGTAGCAGCAAAAGAGAGGTTGGAGGCAATACTGTAATAGTATGTCAATTACGTTATATTTCATCTATGCTATGCTAATAGCATAGATGAAAGCAGTAGTAGTTGGCGCAGGACTTGGTGGGCTTTCGGTAGCGGCGTGCTTAGCAAAGGCAGGTGTTGATGTTACCATTCTTGAAAAAAATTCTTGGGTCGGTGGTAGAGTGCATAAGTGGGTTCACAAGGGTGTACGCTTTGACTTAGGACCAAGCTGGTACCTTATGCCCAAAGAAGTGGATAGATGGTTTCACGCTCTAGGTTTTGACAGGAAGCAATTTTACGAGATACACAGATTAGATCCCGCATATAAAGTTATTTATGATGGCGAATCTTTAGTTGTTCCAGGGAATATTAACAAAGTTTTTGAGCTTTTTGAGAGTGTGGAGCAAGGTGCGGGAGAAAGGTTACAATTTCATCTAAGCAATAACGCAAGGGAATACCACTACCTTATGGAGAATTTTATCCGTAGTAATTATAACAGTGCACGCACGATACTTAGAAAGGGAATGGAGATACTTCGCTTCTTTGAGTATAGCTCTCTTATGAGTAATTTTCATTCAAGAATCAAAAAAGTTGCGTACGACCCTAAATTACAAAAAATACTAGAATACTCAAGTACTTTCTTAGGTGCTAGCCCGTATACTCTGCCAGCTCCTTACACTATACTGAATCATGTAGATTTTAATCTAGGCACATGGTATCCTCTAGGTGGATTTTCTGTGCTTCCTGAGGCAATGGCCAAGATATGTCGTTTACTAGGAGTAACAATCCACTGCAACGAAGAAGTAGAGATGCTTGAGCTGAAGCGAAATACTATTAGCCATGTGCATAGTAAAAGCACAACATACCAAGCAGATCTTGTAGTGGCAAACGCAGACAGGCATTTTGTCGATCAAGTCTTGCTTCCCCCAAAATACAGAGAAATGAAAGAGAGGCAGTGGAATGCACTTCCCATTTCGCCATCAGTGTTCAATATTTTTTTAGGAGTAAAGGATACGCTAAACAACCTTGCTCACCACACATTCTTCTTCGATAGTGACTGGGATAAGCATATTACATCAGTGTATAAGCGTAAGGAATGGCCGCTAGATCCTCTTTTTTATGTGCATTGCCCTGCAAAAACAGACCCAGCAGCCGCTCATAACGATGTACAGTCTTTGTTTATACTTGTCCCTTTAGCACCCGGCGTACAAGATAGTCCAGTAGAGCGAAATAGAATATACGAGAGAGTGCTACAACGTCTGCGACTGCATGCTAATATCTCTGAGCATACTATTTCATTTTCTAAAATAGAAGGACCAAGGGAATATAAGTTGCATTTCAATGCGTATAAAAGTAACGCATTTGGTCTAGCTATGACCTTAGGTCAAACGGCAATGTTACGACTGAGTAATCGCTCTCAAAAAGTAAAGAATCTTTACTTTTCGGGTCAATATACGATACCAGGAACAGGAACAACTATGTCAATTATTTCTGGAGAGCTGAGTGCTGAACGCATTATCCAAGAGATGAGCCTATCCTAGCCCAGTAGCAGGCATACGTCGTATAGACACTCTCGGGCAAGCAGTAGGTCGAACCTAAACTTTTCTTGCTTTCTATACATACTTTATTTAACAGCAATATCAATGCTTGGTCGATACCCTAGCAGTGTCTGTACCGCTACGTGCACAGGGTGCTTCTTGAAGGCGGTTATGTATGAGGACTTCTTTGCTTTTTTTGCATCCAGCTGCACGAAAGTATTCTGTTGTAGCATGTAATCAAAACGTGGCGCCCACTTTCTTGCTCCTAGCCTTGCTGTCATCGAGCAATTGTCTATCATATAGCTTATTCCTTTGTAATGCATATATGGGTTTAGTGAATCCACTGCCTCAATAACAGATTCGTTTACTATTTCAGAGTACGAATGACCGTTTGCAAGTAGCACGTCTATCTGCGCCATCATGGTAGCAATATAGATTCCAGCAGTATGAGGGTGGACAGGGACAACTGTCTTATCTCGTTTTTTGCGCACCTCTTTTCCAATAGTGCTCCACATTTCTGTGTTATCAATAATACCAAGTGGAAATTCATTCATGCGCTCCATTGCGTAGATTACAGAGCGTATTTCATTCCCTGAAGATACCTCATCGTAGATCTCTTGTAATACTTCTTTAGCGGTATCATAGCTTGCGTTGTATGCAAGTTCAAATTCTTTTTTATCTGCTGTTTTCATGTCATTGTACACGGCAAGAATACCCTCATGTGATATTTTTCCCGATATAGGGCCTGTAATGCTTTCTACAGAGTGTATAAACGCCTCACTCTTTTTCATTCCTTTATCTACAAAGCGTCTATAAAGAGCTTCTACTATCCCATGAACTGCACCTAGTAATATACCTCTTTCTCCGTATATATCTGACTTGCACTCCATGTTTAAGGAGGTGCAGAAACTAAAGGGGGCACCAACTCCTAATGCCCAAGAGATGGCATACTCAGTTGCTTTCCCTGTAATATCCTGATGCACAGCAAAACTCGTGTTAATACCTGCTCCATCAATTTTTTTTCCTTGCTCGTACAGTCGCCTTACAGAAGGACCCATACCCTTGGGGCATACCCCAATAACGTTGATGTTTGCTGGGAATTGCTCCCCTAGTGTTCGCAAGTATTCTGCAAGGAACCCATGAGAGAGTCCTAGAGTAGTTTTTGGTCGCATGGCCTTGAAAATTCGTGGGTAGAGCTTAGCTTGGGCAGCATCTGAAATAAGGAGAATAACGAGATCGCTTTTCTTTATTACAGTAAACATTTCACCAAGCGTTTTGTTCGCTACAGTGAACCCCTCTTTTTCTGCTTTTTTCCATGATGGACTGTCTTTTCTTAAGCCCATAACAACGCGAATGCCAGTACCCACTAAAGAATCACGTAAATTCATTGCCTGGGCGGGACCCTGACTGCCCCAACCGATTACGCCAATCTGTTTAATACCACCAAAACCTTGTTTCAAAAGCTTAAATTTCTCTCTTCCCCCCTTATTACATACTCTGTGGTATTTGCAAGGGAAATTTTTTCTTTACTAAATATTTTTGTTTTATATGTATGCGACATAAGTACCTCTATGTATAGTATACACCATACAAAAGAACGAAGTGCTACTGCGCTAGAAAATATATTACATATGCTAGATGACTTAATAAAAAATAGGTACATAACACTTGAAAAGTATTATTTAAGCTAGTACAATAAAAGTATGCCGCTGTAGCTCAGTTGGTAGAGCAGAGGACTGAAAATCCTCGTGTCATCAGTTCAAATCTGATCGGCGGCAGTAACTAATTAGTAATTAGTACTAATACTTACTACTGTAACAGCACCACACAGAAAGCATTTGCTACTATGTATGTTCTGTTACTGCAGTGCTATTCTTATTTGTAATGTGCGTGTTTACGCCGCTTTAGCTGTAACACCTAATTTAATACAGGTTTTTCTTATCCACTTCTTGCTTTTTGCTTCAATCTGCCTTACTCGTTCTTTAGAGATTCCAAAAAACTTACTTACCTCATCAAGTGATTTCTTGTGTCCATCGTTCATGCCAAAGCGCATTTTCACTATTGTAGCTTCACGTTCAGGTAGTTGGTCTATGCAACTTCTTACAACAAATGCGATCTCTCTTTCTAGAAAGTGATTTTCTGGAGAAACATTGTTTTGATCTGCTATAAAATCTCCATAAAACTCAGTATTGGACGCCGTAGTGTTAGTGTTGTTGATGCTTGGACTCTCAATAGAGATAATTTCTTTTTTCTTAGACATAAGATAATCTAAATAATCCTCGCTGAAATTCAATTCTTTTGCAATATAGGCGTTATGTTCTTGCGCGCTTAAGTCTCTGTGCTTTTCATTGTTTTTCATTTCCATCTTTAACTTAAAAACAGAATTGAGCTCGCGAGCTTTATTGACTGGTTTACGAATAAATGCACTTTCTTGTATTGCTTTATTGATAAAATATCGTATCCACCATACAGCATAAGAAATAAAGTTATTTTGCTTATTTTCATCAAACTTCTCTATTGCCTTTAGTAAGCCAAACGCTCCTTCAGAAATGAGTTCATCAAGATCTATATTTAATTTCTTATATTTATATTGGCATGCAATCATAGCAATGAAAGGAATGTTAACTTCTAGAAGAGTGTTTCTCGCTTCTAAATCCCCCTTTTTTGCCTTTGCAATTAGTTGCACTTGCTCTTCAGGACTGGGAATATTTGAATGAAGTTCCTGTGACTTCTCATCTGTAACCTGCACCTGAGTAGTATCGTCTCCGGTCTTTTGTACTGCATTCGTTCTGATTTTACCCATAACATACCTCTCTCATTGTTCTATTGCAATTTCCCCTCAGTAACCTGCATATATCTCTAGCAAGATGCATGCCAAATCTATATGTATGTATATAAAATATAACACTTTTCATTATTTATAAAAAGTATACAGTATTATAATAAAAAAAAATATCTATAAATTAAATCATTATATTATAAGCATTTATTTATATTCTATCTAGTAAATAAAAAAATGCTTTTTGAAGTAAAGCATGAAAAATGGTGTAAATATAGTATTTTTGCTTATCTTTAATAGTACTAATTTGTATATTAAAATAATTGACACTATTTTATACATATTCAAGGATATCTGCTTAATATATGTGTATATATGAAACAGAGTGAAAAAAGCATACACTTTATGTATAAGATATGTACATAAATAGTACTATATTCTGTTTTTCATGGATCTAAGGATAAAAAAAATACATGCATTCCCTTTTTGCATGTAAGATTTTCGTGGTACGCAAGCACAGTAGAAGATACTTATACTATAAGTATAGACATTACAACTATAGCTAATAAGAAGATTAATCAGTGGAATTATTATCTTATTTAGTGTAGAATACGTATAGGAGGAGCTATGTCCAAAGTTTCAAAAAACGCAAGAAGAGAAGGGGTAAAAGAACTCAAAAGTAGGTGGGGTGGCAAAATCACAGTAAAATCAAAGATGGAAGCCGGAAAAATACGTCACTTCGCTGAATGTGAAAAATCAGGTATTCAAGCAAGAAAACCACGAGATCTTATGTAATGCACAGAGGTCTTGCATCATGATACTTTCCGGAAAAAAAATTCACTCTCTTCTAAACAATAAAATTATTATAGAGCCCTTCAAGGTAGAGCGACTTAATCCAAACAGCTATAACCTCTGTCTTCATAACGAGTTGTTTACTCATACTGAAGATGTGCTTGACATGGAAAAAAAAAATCCTCTCACTAAGATAGTAATTCCTGATTCAGGTTTTGTTCTTCGCCCTTATACCCTGTACCTAGGAAGAACTGCAGAGTATACAAAAACCTACGGTTTAGTGCCAATGCTGGAAGGGCGTTCCTCGGTAGGGCGTCTCGGCTTATTTGTCCATGTAACCGCGGGATTTGGCGACGTAGGTTTCGAAGGGTACTGGACACTAGAGTTGCATTGTATTCATGCAATACGGATATATCCAAACGTTCCAATTTGTCAGATATTTTATCATACCATAGACGGCGATTACGACCTCTATACCTCTTCAAAGTACCAGAAAAACAAAGGTTTACAGAGAAGTTTACTGTATAAAGAGCTAAATTCTAAGACCCAGTAAGAGTGCGTTGCAAGTGGGCATGCTACGTATAGTTATAGCTTTCATGCAATCTTGTGTGGAATGAGTATTAGTATATGTGATATTTGCATTTGCACCTTTTGGTATGCGCGGAAAAATAGTACAGGTTGAGGTGGATATCTGTGGAAATTTCCCCATTGTAGAAATTGTTGGACTCCCTTCCAGTGAAGTAAAAGAATCGAGAGATAGAATAAAAATAGCTATTAAAAATAGTGGTTTTATATGGCCTCTGAAACGTATTCTTATCAATTTAGCACCTGCTGATATAAAAAAACAGGGAGCCGGGTTTGACTTACCCATAGCTCTTGCTATTCTTAGCGTAACCGAGCAAATTAGTGCATTCTCCCAGCCAATTTTAGCAGTGGGCGAATTGCAGCTCAATGGAAACGTACGACCAGTTCTTGGCGCTCTTGCGATGGCACTTAGTGCCATAGAGCAGGGGATAGAGCATTTTGTTGTTCATAAAGACAATGCCCGCGAATGCTCTATTACGCAACGTGCCCATTTCTTTGAAATTACACAACTAATAGATATGCAAAAGCAGTACACCTGGCAGCAGAGTAAAGACAGGGACGCCAATGGGATCACTCAAGCAGAGGGCTTCTTTAGTTCCCCATCTCTTGCAGACCTGTCTCATTGCAATGCACTGAAAAGAACAATACAGATAGCAGCAGCGGGCAAGCATAATGTACTGTTTAGCGGACCTCCTGGTACTGGGAAAACAGCGGGAGCTATACGAATTCCCTCACTGCTCCCAGATCTTAGTTTTGATGATTCGCTAGAGCTAAGTGCCTTATATTCTCAAAACGGTTTTTCCCTTGGTGCACGAGGCCTACTTACGAGGCGACCAGTACGCATTCCACACCATACAGCAACAGTAGAGGGCATGGTGGGAAGCGGCGCATCTCACAGTCTAGGTGAAATCACACTTGCACACTGTGGTATCTTACTGCTAGATGAAGCTCCTGAATTTAAGATGAAGGTGCTCCAGGCGTTGAGAGAACCCCTCGATCAGCAGTATGTTACCATAAGCAGGGCGGGGCATAAGTGGGATTATCCCGCAGATTTTCAATTAATACTTACTACTAACCTCTGCCCTTGTGGAAATCTGGGAAAATCCCAGCACTCTAAAGAATGGTGTCTTTGTTCCGAAACGTGAAATTTTTGCGTATTGGAAGAAAATAGGTGCAGCGTTGTGGGACAGGATTGATATTAAATATGCTACAGAATATGTAAGCACAGAACGAGCAGAGAGCGAGGGGCTACGCCTCCACGATATGATGCAAAGAAAAACCGAAGTGCTTCGAGCTATGGATACTCAAACACTACGTTATAAGGAAGTGGGAGTAAGTAGCAGTTGGAATTCTCGATGCCCTAGTGAAAAAATCCCGCTACTATTCCGTGTCTCAGATGCTGGGCATATTTCTATACAAAGAGCTCTCTCTACGCTTCAGATGAGCGAGCGAAGAAAATTAGTGCTCTTTCGTGTGAGTCAAACTATTGCAGATATTTCTAGAGACGATATTATTTGTGAAGCGCATATAAGCGAGGCAATTGAACTTGTGCATTCTCGCTTGAGTGCAAGTTACAAGCATGTGTAGGCCCTGTACTTTACTGTACATAAGAAGGCGAAGCATCTTATACGTACAAACCGTATACTTACTAGCCAAGCGATTGGACAATGTTCTTAAATTGCTCTCCCCTGTCAAATTCATGCTTAAACATACCAAAAGAAGCACAACCTGGTGAGAGTATGATGATATCGCCATCGTAGCTCTGCGTGTACGCTTCTTCTACTGCATGCTGTAAGCTATTATAGGGTCCAGAATAAGAAATGCGTTCTTTACGCAGTAGAGGGAGCAGTAGCGAAGTAAAGGTACCCTCTAGCAGGTAACAGTGCTCTGCTTTTTTGCATTGCACCAGCAAGTCTTGAGGGAGTAGTTCTTTGTCTGTTCCGCCGCAGATAAGGTGCACGGAATGGGGTGCCAATGCTGCTATATTCATGGCCTGGGGAATGGTAGCTGCGCTGTCGTTAATAAATACACGTTTAAGATTATTTGCAACCCGTTCCTTCCTGTGTTCTAGCGTAAGTAGTTTTTCCCATGTTTCTCTGTCCCGTGGCATATCCTCATTATGTGCTAAGCAAAAAGCCATAAGAATGAGCACGTTTTGTATGTAGTATGAGTACGGAACATTCGAGAAACAACGAAGCGCGGTAGCTGTTGCCCCGATTCTACTTCTATACAACAGTACTCCATCTTCGAACCAAGATCCAAGCTGACTACTGTCTAGAGGGGTAGCACTGTGCCAGTAGCATTGTTCTGCTTTGTAGTGTAGCGCAAGACGCCTGCCCCACTTATCATTTGGAATTATTATATTTCTATAGCCCGCTGATTTTCTAAAGAGATATGATTTATCGAGAAAATATTCTTTCATATTACTATAATAGTTGAGGTGATCACGCATAAAGTTAGTAAAAATCTGACATTCTATAGTATTTATTGAAAGATCATTCACGATACGTAAGTCACCTATCTGCTGGGCAGATAATTCGCACACAAGGTACTTTGGACGAATATTCTGTTCTATAAGGGTGAGCACAGACCTTCGGATATTTCCCGCGAGATAACTCCGTACAGTGAAATGTGAATCTGCTTCTATGTTTTTACCTCGAGACAACAAAGAGTGTATGGCATGAGAAATGCTTGATTTTCCTTTGGTTCCTGTAATTGTAATAACGGCACTGGGTGCGTGTGTATCTGCATTCCAATCGAGGTACAGAGAGATATCGCTTAGTATACACTTCTTCTCTGTTTTTGCATATGTTATGATGGGAGCATGCTTAGGGATAGCAGGGTTTTTTATAATATAGTCGGCTGCGTGAATACACTCTTTGCTATGTGTACCAAATTCGCATTCTAAAGGATAGGAGCGAAAACCCTCCATAACTTCTGCGAATCTTTCTTCCTTCTGTGCATCGCTTATCAATATCCGTTTAGCTTTTTGAGATATAGCGTAAGAAACAGCGGCTGCCCCACCTCCGTGTATGCCGAGTCCTAGGATAAGTACACTTTTATTGCGAAGAGAAATCAATCTTAGATTTATTATACATCACTATTTTACTTTATGTAGTATTATTACTGGGTGTTTCATTATCAAATAAAGCACGAGCCTTGTCTCTGTTAAAGACTATATTAAATCCATTATCGCGTTGCACGATAACTTTACCAATAGATTTTGGAAGTCTTCGTAGGTATTTTACCTCTGTGTAGTGAAGATCGACGATACTCGCATCTTTGCATTTACTAAATAAAGCAGCAAGCTGAGCCGCGTTTTCCAGTGCGTCAAGAGCTATACTGTGTCTGTGTTGCGAGCGAATAAAGACATACGCGCCACTGCTCCCCCTAATGTGCATCCACATGTCATTGCCCTTTGCTGTGTAGCGAAGTAACGCATCATTTTCTTGGGCATTTCTTCCAATAAAATAGCTGTAGTTTTTCTTGTAAAGAACAAGACCTCTTGTATGCTTTGCTGTTTTGCGAGAAGCGTTCGCAGTATGGGATCCCTTTCTTAGCTTTAGTAGTGTTTTTCCCGATAGGGTTCCTTGTATAGATTTCATGGCATCTTGTAGCATGCGATCTTCGTCTGAATTGTATTCTGCACTAGCATACGATATGTTTTTCTCCAATTCTTCCACAGCTTCCTTCGCATCATGCAATACGTCTAGTTCGCTTTGATTCTGCTGCAACGACTTTTGTAATGACGCACACATGTTTTGAGAGCGCTTATAACGTTGAAAGTATATATTGGCATTCTCAATAGCATTTCGCTTGCTGTCCAGGTGAATTTGCAGAGTAGACCCAGTCTTGGGATGCTTTGTATGTAGCCATTCCAAGCCTGCAGGGATTCTGTGCTGATGAATAAGTATTTCGTTTCCAATATGCAAATACATATCGTATTCGAGATGCTTTTCCATTTCTTTTTTACTTGCATCCATTCTAGTTGAAAGTTGCTGTATTCGTTTTGTAAGTATAGTAGAAATCTCTCTGATTTCTCTTTTTCTCTTTTCATGTCTTTGTTTATGCAAGTAGTATGAGGCAATGTAATCATTAAACGCTGTGCTATGCGCGTTATGGAGAGGGTAGCTACGTATAGATATATTGCTTTTAGAAACATGTGTAGTATTGGATGGCGTAAATTGCTGTTGTGGCATAATGCCACGGTCGGGGCGTCGAAACAGAGCATCGATTATTCTGTTTTCTACATTACATAGGATGATATTTGCTTGAGCATTCCATAGCCGCATGTAGAGCAGTAGTGTGTCCTCATTGTGCACAGGTTGTTTTCTTGTGCAAGTAAAGCATACTATCCTGTCGTTATTGATATGCTGGACATCTGCAATACTCATTCCTACAAGTCGAGATTGTAGTAACTGCTGAAATCTTTGAATTTTCTTGGGCTTGGCAGGAGCGGTGCCAGCGCTGTGCAGGCGAAGAGCGTGTGATTCTAAGTGAACATAGAAATGCAGTAGCTGTCTCTCGGAGTAGATTTCCATGTAGAGGGTATATATTTCTATTTGGTATACTTTCTGTATTTTTCCTCTATGTAGAGGAAGTTCGGATAGTATAAGATCTATCTCTTTCCAGTTAAGAGACATGGCTTAGATACTCCGTAAGATAGTACTTTCTGCAGTCAGAGCAGAGATAAGAGGACCCACAGATTACAAGTACAGCATGTTTTTTCTTTGCATACGCAAGAGCTTTTTCAAAAGCAGTGTAATGATCGTTAATGCATCTAAGGGTGCTACGACGTGTGCTTTGTTTCTTGAAATGCGATTCTGTATTTTTCAAGGCGTTGTACAGCAACGTAGGGTTCTGAGGCTTTATGCTTCCCGCCTTGGTAACGATGATACGTTGAAAACATGGGAGATATAGAGCTATTGCTTTAGCGATACGTTCATGTTCCTTGTCTTGGGATATTCCTAGTAACAGTATGGACTGTGAAAAAAACATTGAACAGAATCGAAGGGTATTGCTTAGCGACTGAGGGGTATGTGCAATATCTAGGTATAATGTGTTATGCAAGAGTTCACCTCTACAAGGCAACTGAGCACTCTGGGGAAAATAGAGTTTTGCAGGCAGTGTTTCTATTGTATGTGCGTGCTTGCGAAGAATAGCAAGCCCAAGAGTTGCAAGCATTTGATTTTGTACAATGTGGGTAAGTAATGCTTTGCTTCTTACTTGCGTATTTGATGTCTGTGCAGAATTTGATTTTCCCCTGTATGCGCAGGGGGTAACAGCAAGGGTAGCAGTAATGCCATCAATGCCCTGTTTACGTATACTATGCTGCGTGCAGCTATCGTAGATATACAGAGGGGAGGTTTGATGCTCTGCTGTTTTGCGTACTATATTGAATACTACATTATGTGTCTGAGAGCCCAGCAAAACAGGAACACCAGTTTTAATGATGCCAGCTTTTTCGTAGGTAATTTCTTCTATGCTGTATCCTAGTATATCGCAGTGCTCAAGCTCTATATTGGTAATGATGCTTAATTGTGGTGTAATGACATTCGTGCTATCATGAAGACCACCAATGCCCACTTCAACAACCACCCATTCACAGTGTTTTTTTTGAAAGTAAAGCAAGGCTGCAGAAAATATCTTTTCAAAAAAAGTGGGGCGGCTTCCTTGGGAGCTGCAGTTTTGTGCTGCAGTATGTACCTCGTTTATTACAACAAGGAATTCGTCGTCAGAAATTGGCTGGTTATCAATTTTTATGCGTTCATTGTATGATTGTATGTGAGGAGAGCTAAAAAGCCCAGTTCTTTTTCCTTGCTTAGATAAAAGGTATGCGAGGGATTGCGAAGTGCTACTTTTCCCCTTTGACCCTGTAATATGCACAAAACGCACCTTTCGTTCAGGGTTTCCACAGTGTTTTAATAAGCATAGCATTCTTTCGTTTGAGGGGGCATGCTTATAGTGCAGACTAGGAAGCTCCTGCAACCAATCAAGCGCTTTAGAGAGCCCACGAAACATTTCTCTAGCCTTGAGTAGAAAGAGTAGCGTTTGAGGTGCCGTTTATTGCTTTCGTTGATGCTTCCTGAGAACGAAGGTCACGGTAGTCAAGTGCTTTTTTGTGAAAATAAAAACCTTCATACTCAGCCAAAGCTTGCACAATCGGAGCAAGTCTTTCGTAACCACGCGATGTTATTTGTATTACGGTGCTTTCTTTTATAAAATCTCTTACAGAAATGCCCGAGTAGCTTTTTGCCATGCCCCCAGTAGGGAGCACCGCGTTTGCGCCTGCAGCGTAATTCGCTATACTAAACGGACTGTGCTTTCCTAGTAGTATCTCACCCGCATTACTAATCTTCGACATAATTTTTGAGGGCATATCTGAATGTATAAGTAGGTGTTCTGGAGCTATAGTATTGCTGATATGGATAGACTCCTGAATATTCTCGGTAACAATAACACCATAGTAGGTATGAAATACAGTGTTTAAGATTTCTTTTTGTGGGCTCGGAGCCTGCTCTATTATTTTGTTAAGGTGCTTAGATACAGATTCGGCAAAGTCTTTTTTGTGGGTAAGTAGCAAAGACATAGAATCTATTCCATGCTCAGCTTCAATACAAAGATCGTAGGCTACAAGGTCAGCTGCGGTGGTGCCGTCTGCAATAATAAGCGATTCTGATGGCCCTGCAGGAGGTCCTACATCTACTACAGAGCGAAGAAAATGCTTGGCGGCACTTACTATAGCACTGCCAGGTCCTATAATTTTATGTACAGCTGGGATGCTTTTTGTGCCATAGGCAAGTGCCGCTATTCCATGTGCGCCTCCCACCTTGTATATTTCGCTGATATTACATAGTTCGGCAACATACAGTGTGGCGGGATCGATGCTACCATCGGGGAGTGGTGGGGTAATCATAACAATACGAGGCACCTCTGCTAAGCATGCTGGTACTGCAAGCATATATGCCATAGAAGGAAAACTCCCCTTCCCACGTGGAATGTAGAGCGCAACTGATTCGACAGGGTGTATTGATGACCCAATAAACACACCCTGCCCATTTTCTGCAAGGGGTTTATTCTTTGCTATTGTTTGAGATATATGGTAGTTATGCACATTTTGGTATGCGGACTTCAGAGCTTTCTTTAGTTCGGGGCTCAGCATGCGTATTGCCGTTTGTATTTCCTTTTCTTTTACTCGTAGTTCTGAGCTTTTTTTGAACTGTACGCCTTCAAATTTTTTACTGAACCGTAAAAGAGCCCGATCACCTTCTTCTCTTACTTCTTTAAGTATGCGAGGTACGGTTTTGCTATACTGTTCTATTTCTAATTGAGACCTTCGTAGAATTCTGTTTTTTCTTTCCTTAGGTATTTTGCTCCATACTTTAGGGCGCAGTTTCTTGTGCATGTACGTATTATACAGCAAAATTCTCATTCAACTTTTGAAAGAAAAGTGTTTTATAGTGCTATGAATGATAAGGCATATGCAAAAAGGATATGAATCATGAAGGAAAACACATATACTAAACAACAAAGAAAACACTTGTCTTTCTTTCACTCTCTATAATTGCTATTGCAGCAGACTGTGAATGCACCCCTTCCTCTGTAACCGCATCCCTTGAACCCGCATTTACTACCACTGATAAGATGCATCTCATAGCAGCGCCCTAGTAGTGTAGTGCAGTGCTAAAGCAGCATGTCTACACAAGAGCTAAGGCAGCATACCTTAGCTCTTTACTACTTTTTAGCATGCTTCTTCTCCATAATACATTCCATGTATACATTTCTCCATTGAGACTTACATAGCATTCTGCTTTCCTAGATATTCTTTCCATACCTTCGGGCGTAATTTCTTGTGTGCTTAATGTATACGATTGAACGTTCGTTGCAAGTTTTGAGTATGCACTTAATTTCATATTTAGTAAGATATAAATATACCGACTTTTATAGTATATGAAAATAGTACGTATTTGTTTTCAGTGCTCATGCTAATGGTGGGTGGGTTTGTTCTTACCGCATTAGTGCTACTGGCAAGGGGTTATGAGAATACCGTAGCATCTTTTTTAATTAAAAGTTACTCATTTATGGGCTATGCTACGCCACTGTTCTTTTTCTGCTTGTTTTATATCGTAGCAAGCAAGGATTCAAAATCTCGCAATATTTTTCTCCCCCTCTTTGCTGTACTTCCCTTTCTTTGCTTTAGTGCAGCGTTGAGAGTATTCCTGTGGAAGACTGGAGATGCCGCACCACCTTTCTGGAACCTTACTCAGCTCTTTGGTCAAACAGGCACAGCAGTGTTTTGGCTTGTTTTGGGGGCAGGATCACTACTGCTTATATCTCTGGGGTATTTTATCATACGAACTGCTGAGATTGCAAAGCAAAGAGAGAATATAAGACATCAAGGGCTACAGCGGCCATCAAACATAGCATACCAAAATCCATATCACAGCCATCATCATGTACTCGGTAATACAACTAGTGCGGTACAAGCCACATCTCAGCCTCAAGGTATGGCATACGCCAACAACGGCATCGATGCTGTGGATATGCAACAATACAAAGTAAAAGACAGACAGGAGAAAGCACATCTACGTTTTGCTTCATACCCAACAGGGTACGAAGCACAAGAAGAAGATAGCAAGTCCTTACTACATCCAAAAAAACACGAGGAAAGGTACCTGCTCTTATTTCATGGGCATGGTAAGAATCGCTCATACTATGCTGAATACGAAAAAGAACGCATGCAAGACAAGGCGCCAATCGGCGCAGAAGGCTATGTGCCAAGAATGGATGCTGCAAGCAGAAGTAGCGAAGCTGAGTTAGTATCGCAAGTAGCATATGCTACAGCAGGTACACAAAGCGTAGCAAAACCTATGCCTGTAGATCAAGGTAGGACTGTAGTGAGTACGCAGAGCACAATAACACAGGGTGCAGAGGAAGTAGAAGGGGAGGGTATGCGTATTAATACGATAGCAGATGAAGAGCAGAGCTACGAGCATGATACATCATTATCGTATAAGGAAGAACAGGCAAGCATAACCCACACCGAACAGACAAGTATAGTCCCTACTATAGAGAATGCAATCGCACTAGAAGATTTTGAAGGTATAGAAATATATGAAGAAAGAGAAGAGTTAGCTGTAGTTGATATGCATGAAAGTAGTAGCAGTAGTAGTAGAGAGGAAGAAGAACAAGAGGCAGTTGTAGCAGCACATCTAGCGCAAGAGCACATAACGGCAACGATGGAGGCAAGTGCCACAGCACAAGATTCTGAATTTGAAGTAGAGGACGAGGAACTCAGTGCAGTTGACGGAGTAACAATCAGTGAACTTTATACTGAGGGCGAACCTGTACAGCAGGAACAGATTTTTGATGATCTACGATCCATTGTAGGACTGGATACGCATGTACACAATGCGCCTGTAGAAGCCGACATAGATACGCCCAACACACTAGATAGTGCTACACTCGATAAGGATACACCCGACACTACAGATGACAGTGCAGACCAGGATACGCACAACACAAATACATACACAGCCACTATCCTAGATCAGGGTGTGTTTGACAAGAGAGCACCCAATATAGCGCATGATGATAAGAAGGTAATAAAACATAGCGAAAAGAGAAGGAAGGGGAAGTACGTAATACCGATTTCAGATATTCTTGCAGCACCCCCACCGTTACCACGGATAAGCGAAGAACAGCAACAGGATATAGCTCTAAGGTTAGAGGAAACACTAAAGGAGTTTAATATTGATGCGAGGGTAGTATCTATATGTATGGGGCCAGTAGTAACGCTTTTTGAAATACTCCCAGCACCCGGGGTACGCCTACGACGTATAGTAGAATTATCAGACAATATCGCACTACGTTTAGCAGCTCCTAGTATACGTATTGTTGCACCCATACCGGGAAAAGAAGCGGTAGGCATCGAGGTCCCCAATAGAGAAAGGCAGACAGTTGCTTTCTCTGAGCTTATATCTCAAGTGGATTTTCGAAACAAAAAGAACATACTCCCCATTGCATTAGGTAAGAATATTTCTGCGCAAACCATTGTTATGGATCTTGTAAAGACCCCTCATATGCTTATAGCAGGCGCAACCGGCAGTGGTAAATCGGTATGCATCAATTCTATTATTTGCTCCATTCTTTATGCGCATCACCCCGATGATGTTAAACTGATCCTTATCGATCCTAAGATTGTTGAGCTTAGCTTTTATAATGACATACCTCACCTCCTTACACCAATGATTAGTGATCCACAGAAATCTGTTAAAATATTGAATTGGTGCGTGCAGGAAATGGAGCGAAGATATGTACTGCTCGAACAAGGCAATGTAAGAGAAATACAAAGTTACAATAGTAAAGCAAGTGAACAAAAGACTAAGTCGAAAATGCCATATATTGTAATCGTTATCGATGAGTTTGCTGATCTTATGATGTCCTGCGGAAAGGATATGGAAATTCTTATATCAAAACTTGCTGCGAAATCCCGAGCAGTAGGCATTCACCTTGTTATTGCAACACAAAGACCGTCAACTGATGTAATAACCGGGCTTATCAAATCGAACATACCTACTCGCATTTCATTTATGGTGGCAAGCAAGATAGATTCGCGCATTATACTGGACATAAACGGAGCCGAGAAGCTCCTTGGAAAAGGTGATATGCTCTACTCCTCCGCACAAAACCCTTTTCCCGAGCGTTTGCAAGGTGCGTATCTTGCAGAGCAAGAAGTGGAAAGGGTGGTAGCATTTGTAAAGGAAGCAGGCGGAGAGCCCGAGTATATGGATGAGCGGCTCTTTGAAGGCAACACAGATACTACAGAAGAGTTTGCGGGGGCAGATGATCCGCTTTGGGAGCAGGCGTTGGAAGAGGTGCTTGTAAACCAGCGTGCATCTGCATCGCAACTACAAAGAAGATTAAAGATAGGCTACAATAGAGCTTCAAGAATTATTGAGGATATGGAGAGCAAGGGTATAGTAGGGCCACAACAAGGAAATAGACAAAGGGAAGTATACATTTCATAGCTATGCTATGCTACGCTCTTTCTTTATTGCTGTCCATGCCTGTTGTATTTGGTAAAAACGTTTTTCTGCAGACTCTATCATCGAATCTGGTAAACCACGACTCTTAAGAGTATCAGGGTGATATTCCTTAGCAAGCTTTCTATACGACTTTTTTAACTCCTCATTACTCGCATCCTTGCTAAGACCCAATACGTGGTACGACTGTTCGGTGCTCGCCTCAAATGAATTGATTATATGAGAAAGCTCAGCATCAGAAACCGAAAAAATTGAAGCGATAGATTTAATAATCCGTTCTTCTTGTGCAGAGATAATACCATCAGCCGATGCTATACCCACTATTTGATACAGCATTTGCCGTTCTAACTGGGGTGTTCTACCGAAAAGGAGATGAAACTGCGATGCTAGCTCTTCCACACTTTTTGGTTCATTCTTTGCGTTATTAAAGTAATGTATTGCAGAGGCCTTATGCTCTCCAGTGAGCTGTAGCTTATGCACAAGCTGTATAAGAAAATCCCCCTCCTGTTTTGAAATAGTACCATCAACCTTTGCTATTTTTCCAAGTATGGTGAAGAAAGTGAAGAAGTACATATTCTGTAACTCTTGCATTTTTTGGGCAGAGATACCGCTAAACATCGACGAATATGCACCCCCCATTCTTCTGCGAGGAGAGAGGAATACATACCCTAATATAGCTCCTAATAGTAGACCAAATATACTACGAAACAGATAGAGGCCAAGTAGTGCGCCTATAATACTTCCCATCATAGCTCCTCCTTTCTATATGTTTCCTCTACTTTTTCCAATGTACTATCTCTAAGGGACTTTAGTTCAGTGGATATTGACACTTTATATACATGTGGGTTAAGCAGGCGCTTAAAACTGCTATCTATGCACCCTAACTGCTTCTCTACGTTGCTTCGCATGGTTTGAACATCCTCGTTATAGATTATCTCTCCTTTCTCGAAGACCTTTTGCAGCAAAGGAAACGACAGAGCATGCTTTGATAGGGTAAACTTACGATGATCCAGCAATGGGTGGTGCACTTCTGCACCAGAAAACATCTGTGGGTTTTCCTTTCCCTCCACGCTATCACTCGCAATAACATCAGCAATGTATGCTGTGTTAGAAAGATCTGCTTTATGGGAATAGTACCTAAACACTTGTTTTATACCTGGCAGGGTAGTTTTTTTAATATTATTCGATACTTTGAGCAGTCCAGTAAATGTATGCTTATTTTCGTCTTGTTTTGCACAGAGTTTATACACTCCCTCGATAGAGTTACTGATTTCATTTGATACGAGTTTTGTTCCTAGACCCCACATATCAATAGGACAATGTGCAGCAGTTAAATCAGATATTATTTCTTCGTCTAGGTTATTTGTAGCTACAATAAAGGCTTTCTCTAAACCCGAGCTGTTTAGTTTTGCACGTACAGTCCGGGACAAGTAGTCAATATCTCCACTATCTAATCGAACTCCAAAATTATTTCCCTGTTGTACCAGTGTTTTCCCCGCTTCTATTGCGTGTACTATGCCACTTTTTAAGGTATCATATGTATCTAAGAGAAATACAGCATTCTTTGGATAAAGACGGGAATAGGTATGAAAGGCATCACGCTCCGTATCAAAATTCATAACCCAAGAATGCGACATGGTTCCTATGTAGGGGATATTATAAAGCTTACTTGCTTCTACGTTAGAGCTATAGCCTATCCCGCCTATGTACGCAGCACGGCTTGCTATAAGCGCGGAGGAATGGCCCGGTGCACGTCGTAACCCTAGTTCTGCAACCGGGGTGTTTTTTGCAGCGTAGCATACGCGTGCTGCTTTTGTTGAAACCATAGTGCTATAATTTATTGTGCTTAATAAAACGCTTTCAATAAGCTGTGCCTCAATGATAGATGCATGTATGCGCATAATTGGCTCATACGGAAAGCATACCGTTCCTTCTGGCATAGACCAGATATCTCCATGAAAACGAAAATTGCTAAGATACTCAAGAAATGCAGGATGAAAGTGTGTGGTATTTTGTAAGAACTCTATGTCTTCATGGCTAAATTGAAGAGAGCGAATAGAATCCAAAACAAGCGAAAGGCCAGAAAATACTGTATATGCCCCATACGGTGCATTCCTAAAAAAAACATCAAAGACCACGTTATTATTTTTCTTTGTAAGAAAATACCCCTGCATCATTGTAAGGGAGTAGTAATCAGTGCATAGGCCAGTGGTATTTTGTTTCAATATACATAGTATAAGAGAAACACACTATTAATGCAATAGATGTCATGCAGTAGATTTTTCATACGCAAGCGTGTATAATAGAAGTATGAGTTATGAATTAGAGTTTGTTATGCTTAAACCAGGTGTGCTTGAAAAAAGAATAGTTGGACAGATTGTGCAACGTTTCGAGCAGAGAGGTTTGGAACTGAAGGCAATACGTGTATGTATGCTACGTCCCTTGCAGCTAGAAAGCTTATATAGAGAGCATAAAGACAAGGTATTCTATAACTCCTTAGTACAATACATGGGCTCTTCAAAAGTTATGCTTATGGTATGGGGTGGCTTGCAAGCTGTTGCTGTAACGAGGGCATTGGTAGGAGCAACTGATCCCCTACAAGCTACCCCGGGTTCTATTCGAGGAGATTTTGCACTAGGGATGCCAGAAAATATTGTACACGCATCAGACTCGGTGCAGAGTGCTACGCGCGAAATAAAGCTATTTTTCAAAGCTTCTGAGTTCTTATAAGTGGCTTTCTTAGTATCTCCTATAGGCGGTATTTCCTATAGGTGCTTTAGTAAATAATATATACTCAATAATATATACTCAATAATATATACTACAATAAAGATAGAAACTATGGCGTTGTACCCAAGTGGTTAAGGGAGAGGTCTGCAAAACCTTTATTCGCCGGTTCAAATCCGGCCAACGCCTTACCTTACTTCTTGCACGATACACAGCTATCTGTGTGATGATATCGATGGTATCACTGCAGTGCATGTTGTAGCATTATGATATAAAACTACAGCGATATAAACACTTATAAACACTACAGCACGTTAGAATACATACGCATACTCAATAAGTATACCATGCTCTAACTCCGGTGAAACATATGAGTATGTATTGTATTGAATAGTATCACTAAAATTATATGTTGTTCTTGTGCTAGAAATATAGTAACGCCCCGAATACCCTATAGAAATTTGCGAAAAGAGATACTCGTTAAAGCGCATGGTAAAACCAGCCCCAAATGGAACATAAGGTTCAAAACTGTAGTCAGCGTAGTTCTCAATTTCACTTTGAAAGGGGAGAAATTTTGAGTTTGCTATATTTATTCTATCAGCGCTTGAAGAGTACCTGCTTATAGTGCTTAATTGCATATGAGAACCTCCGCCTCCCTCGATGTACATAGAAAGAAGATAATGTAATCGTAGGTTGTAGCGAAGCATAAGATTAAGCGACAGTTTGTCTTTCATGGTATATAGCACTTTTTTATTTGTCATATCAATAAGAAAAATATTGCTAGTATAATCATATGCAAGACGCGCTTTAAGATCTAATTGTTCAAAAAATTGCACACCGAAAAAATACCCTAAAGATGCTGTAGAGTGTATCGATGTGGTATCGGGGTCAAAATAGTCAATTAAATTTGGATTTGATATATCTATTGTGGCGTCAGAGGCAACGGCTTGTATTCGTGTTGTAAATATAGATGCATCTGCCCCCATAAGCAACCTAAAGGATTGTGTATAAGAAGGAAAAATAGCTATGGCTAAATATAACAGTATGTATAGTTTTTTCATAATTTCTATTCTATATCTCCTCGTATATTAGTATTTTATAATAAATAATAGTATATAATCGGCAATTATCACTCTACTTTTGAGCCGTAACTGGCGTATATATTCTATATCATAATATACCAAAGAACATATTTCAAGTGTTTATTTTTCAATGCTTTGCATATTCTTGTTCTGTTTTTATAGCTCTTGTAATCAGAAATTGCTGTGTGCGAGCTGTTTTGCTTGTTGAACACAAGTAATAATGTGTTAATAGTCAGAGCATTTAGAGTGCTAGCCCCGCAGTCTCTATGCCTATATCTTTACGTGTACTATATGTCTTTCTTTTTTGTGCATGCAATGTAGCGGTACAATGTTTACTACCTTCACCAGAGCATCTAGCTCTGCAAGCTCTTCTAGAATTGTACTCTTCCTCCCTTTGTAGAGGACGAGTTCTGCAGGGGCAAGTACGTGAGCTATTTCACGTGCTACATAAGGTGTAAGAGTTCTAAATGCCCTTGCAAGAATTATGCGTTTTCCCTTATGTAAGGGTAATTCATGCCTTGTTTCCCAGTCACAGAGCTTCGTTTCAACGACTTTAATAGGAAGTTGTACAGAAAGTTCGCTTTCAATATCAGCAATTGCTGTTCTAAGAAATTGGCTTTTCCTTGGAGATTTTTCTACTAAGTACCAACATGCTGGTACCCCTAATGCATACAAATGGAGCATGAGTGGAATGCCAGGTAAGCCAGCCCCCGATCCAAGGTCTATGCATTGAATAGCACCCATCGTAGTATTGGCGCTATATGCTGCCAGCATAGTATGTAACAAGGAGTAGAGATATTGTAGCGGCGCAAGGCAATCATCAATGTGCTCGTCTATGTTTTCGTTTGGGCCTATAAGGTTGAGTTTTTTTCTGTGTACATTTAAGGTGCGTGTGTAGCAGTTGAGGCCTCTTTGGGTAACAGGGCACCGCTTCACTTGCAAAAGCTACTCTAGCTCAGAAATCTCATTGAGACCAGCGTGATGACTGTGTGTTTCTCTTGTTTTATGCGATTTAGCCTTATTATGTAGATCTGAAAGCACATTCTTGAGCTTGTGGGTAAGATTTTCTATTGCAGGGTACAATAGTTCATGGTGAGCTTCACAATGAACTTGATGCTGCTGCTTAAGATGCAGATCTACTTCTAGCTTAAACTCCTGCTTTTCCCTATGTATACGTATTTCTCCATTGACAATAAGATCGTTGAGGTAATCAAATTTAGAGAACTTCTCTTTGATAAAATCCTTGGTGGAATCACTGATGTGATAGTGAATCCCTTGTAACTTGATTTGAGATAGCATACGACACCCTTGTTCTTTATGTGTGTTGGCAGCTAGTATAGCAAGCCTTCATGTTCAGTATAGCACAATTATAGCAAGTGTTCTATTGTGCATGTTACCATGAGGGTTAACATAGTGTACTATAGTATTTTATACTGAACAATGCTATTTGTGTTATAGTAGCATGCTGTGTTATAGTAGCATGCTATGTGCGCCCGATTACCCGTAACATTGCTACGTTGTATGTTGAAGTAGAAGCAGAAGAGTATCCTAGCTCTTCTCGACTGAGATGTAGGCATCAGAGTATGCTTTATTTGCCTTTATCCAGTGTAGGAATTTCTTCCCTTCATTTTTGTTATAGTAGGGTCCTATCCTTAGTCGGTAATATAAGTTATTTTGTATATTTTTTGTAACTATCACCGCTTTAATACCTTGCATATCAAGTGTGTTGAGAACCTTCATAGCAGAATCTCTGTTGTTGGTGGAGAATACCTGTATCCAATACTTGGTGTTTGGCGAGGCGCTCGGTATGCGCTCACTCGCACTTGCGGCACTTGCGCTCTCTATGTTCTGTATGTTTTTTTCTGTTGTGCGAGAAGCGGCCTTGGTGCCAGCGTTACTTGCAGTAGAGTGAGAATGAGAGTTAGCCGTAGCGATTGCATTCGCAGTGCCAGTGTCTGTAGCTGTACTCTGCTGGCGAGGGGGTGGTGCTTCTGTAGAAGTATTTATTGCTTGTGTGTGCTCCTGAGAGCTGCCAGGGGCAAGTACTTGCCCATGCTGTATGTCTGTGGCTGTGCTTTCTTGCGTAAACCCCTGGTCTTCATTGCCGTAAATTATTACTAAATCATTCGTATCACTACTATCCTTTTGTATCAATGGCGCATCTTGTGGCGATATTGACGTAGATACTTCCTCCTGTGCTAGCACCTCTCCTTTTGGATAAAAAAGAGCCCAACCAACACCTATAACAACTGCAGTAATGGAGATAGCAATGATAAGAGAAAGTAAAAGAAATTGCTCTGAGCTCTCTTGCTTTGGGGGCTGTGCTGTATTCTGGGGAGCTGAGGGGTTGAATGAGGAGTGGGAGTCTGGATTCTTATACAATGTATCATACTGTGATGTTGCATGAGCATGCTGCTGTGCTGAGGCACTACCCTGCTGAGAGGTATTGGATGCTTGCAGAGAAGCTTGTGTGTCAATAGGGGGAGTAGGAGAAGTAAAGACAGGAGAACTGTTCTGGGAAGCAAAGGTGCTAGTAGTATTATTGCCTGCTTGTGTTCGATCTTGTTCCATATATTTCTTTCTCCAAAACTAAAATGTAGTGCTGAATATCGGTTTTGTTATGCACACGTTCAATTTCGGCATTATATGCGTTTTTATTAAGCTTTTTATCTGAGGGAATTTTCTTCTCATGCTGAAATCGTCTCCAGGTATCGATAATCCCTAATGCATCTCGCTTGAGTGCACGCATAAATCGCAGGAAAGAGTGTGTATGTAGCACAACTATTTTGTCACAGTATTTTTGAAGATCTAAATCAAACAGGAGAGCGGCATTGATTACTATGTTTTTATGGCTGCAATGTGATATATACTCTTCAATGTACTGTTTCATCCAGGGATGCACAATACGTTCTAGCATTGCTAGTTGTTTCTTATGCGAAAAGACCTTGCTCCCAAGCGCTCTTCTGTGTATCGTATTGCTTTCTAGGTGAAGTATATCGAGACCAAAGCATTCTACAAGTTTGTCTTTTTTATATTCAAGAGCCTTGTGCCCTATCTCATCAACGTGTATGCAATGAAAACCAAGTTTTTCCACAGCATAAGAAAAAGTACTCTTTCCCGAGCAATACCCCCCTGTTACGCCGAGTACCACTACTTCAGTACCCCCCAGCTATCCCCACTTTGGGCAGAAATAGAAAGGGGCGCAGAGAGTTCGTAAACTTTTGGCATTATTCTATGCAGCATAGCAAGAACGTGAGATACTTCGTTTTCAGGGCATTCCAGTAATAATTCATCGTGTATTTGCAGAATAATAGCACTTGATAGGTTTTCGGTATCTAATGCATCGCTTACCGATATCATTGCTAATTTCATAATATCAGCTGCAGATCCCTGAATAATACTATTGATTGCCATGCGGTCCGCTGCGTGTTTTAAGTTTTTATTATTGCTGTTAATGTGTTCATGGTAGCGTCTCCTACCTAAGATGGTGGTAGTATATCCAAGTGTTTCGGCATTTTGCACAACCCCCGCTATAAAATCAGTAATTTTTTCAAATTCAGTAAAATAGGAACTTATAAACTCCTTTGCTTCTTTTTGGGAGATTTTTAGCTCATTTGAAAGGCGGAAGGCAGACATTCCATATATAACACCAAAGTTAATGCTCTTTGCTATCCTCCTTTGCATGCTTGTAACGTCATTCTCAGCAACTTGGAATAGAATTGATGCGGTAAGAGTATGCACATCCACACCTTGAATAAAGGCGTCTAGTAATTTAGCGTCCTGAGAGAGATGCGCGAGGATAACTAGCTCAATTTGAGAATAGTCGGCACTTATCAGTTTCGATCCTTTAGGGGATATAAAAGCGCAGCGAATTTGCTGACCCACTGTATCTCTTACTGGAATATTTTGTAGCGCTGGGTTCGTGCTGGATATTCGACCTGTTTCCGATCCATTTTGGTTTAGACTTGTATGAACACGGCCTGTTGCTACTTGTATTTGAAGAGGGAGCGTGTCGGTGTATGTGTTTTTGTATTTATTGATATGTCTGTATCTTAAAATTTTTTCGGGGAGCATGTGCTTTGATGAAAGAAACTCCAAAGTTTGCACATCAGTGCTATAATTGCCAGTTTTAGTTTTCTTTGTGTATGGAAGTTCCAATTTTTCAAAAAGAATTTCGCCGAGTTGCTTGGGTGAATTAACATTAAATGTTTCACCACTCAGCTCGTATATCTCCTGTTCTAGTTCAAGTAGGAGCTTAGAAAATTGCTGAGAAAGTGAATACAGATACTGCCCATCAATAACTATCCCTTTCTTTTCTATTTTGGTAAGAACATAGCTAACATACATCTCTACTTTGCGGAAGGTTTCGTACATGCCTGTCTCTTCTAGTAATAAGCGGAGCTTCTGTGCAATTTCTGCCATTACAACTAATAGAGTGGAACTTTTTTTTGCAAGTGCTTCTACAGAATATTCCTCTAAGTCTTTTTCGGTAATAGCTTCAATGGAAAAATCTAAGTGCGGTGCGTAGATAGAATGTAGGCTTGCAAGGTCGTAGTGATGCTGTGCTGGGGATATCATCCACGCAGCAATAAGTATGTCAAAAAGTGCTATAGGTCTCTCGTTTGCATGAAACAGGTGGTGTTGCTTGTGTACACCTATGCTTTGAAAAATGGTAAGCGCTTGCTTAGAATCGTAAAATATCAGTTCGCAGTCCTCTGCGTCAAAAAGAATCTTTAACTCCTGTAGGGCATTGTCCTTCTTTTCTTTGCTTAAGGCATGCCATGGAAGATAATGTGTATGTGTTGACTCCACGCATACAGCAATACCATAGAGCTCTGAGTGTAAAGCTCTTTCCTTATCGAAAACCGGGTAGATATGCGCATATTTTTTCTCCAAGGCTTCTGCTGCTACTTTGCTGAGTTCTGTGGCATCATGAACGATATGTACACGTGCATCAGTGCTCTTCTTCTTTACTGTGCTGCTTGTATGTTTCTTATTCTTATCATCTAGCGATTTAATATCATGCTCTGCTAGAATTTCTGCTACATTTTCCCAAAGCAAGGAAGGGTAGTCAGCAGAAAAATCTGAGGGCATGGGGATGTTTTTATTGAGCTGAACAAGTGTGTAGCTTAGCTGTGCTAGCTCGCGAGAAGTACTAAGTTTCTTTCTCCATGCCTCTTTTATAGAATTCAAGTTTTCAAAAATACCATCTAGGTTCTTATATTTTTGCAGTAGGGATGCGGCTGTCTTAGGTCCTATACCAGCAACCCCTGGAATATTGTCACTACTATCTCCAATAAGAGCAAGGTAGTCATGAATTTGTGCAGCACCAATACCGTAGTTTTCTTCTACCCATGCCTCATCCACGTGTATCCAATCGACACTTTTTGAGCTTGGTCTTAATATTTGTATATTTTCTCCTATAAGCTGGAAGAGATCCTTATCAGAACTGATAATCACCACTCCTGTTCCTTGTTTCTTTGTATCTTCTACCAGTGAGGCGATAATATCATCAGCTTCAAAACCATCGATGCTTATATGAGGCATCTTCATCTGTTCAATAATATGGGTAATGATTTTAATTTGATGCGATAAATCTTCAGGGGTTTTCTGTCTATTCGATTTATATTCTGGGTATATTTTTTTACGCTCTAGTGGAGCGCTTGAGTCAAGAGCTATTACTAATTGCTCTACTTTATATTCTTGATAGATTTTTTTTATGCTTTGGAAGAAACCAAAAATCGCAGATGTATTTTCCCCCTTTGAATTTCTCAGTGGATTTCTAATATGTGCGTAGTATGATCGAAAAATCAACCCATGCCCATCTATAATAAAAAAAGGGATGCTCATTGCAATTTCTATTATACTAAAAACATGAAGAAAAAAGCCCGCGCTCAACACCGAAGAGCTACACAGAATGCACATAATGTGACCAAGCAAGCCACAGGAAATGCAAAAGAAAAAAGAACACAGCAGGAACATACACAAAAACATAATGCGTCTGCATCTACAGCTAAGAAGCCATGGAACAGCAAGAAGAAACCCTTTAAGTCTATCCTGGATTTTATACAACAAAAAAACAACCCTATCCCAACCCCAAAATACAGCCATTACCCCGAAAACGCTATCCCCAATATAGTAAAACCAGAAGCATCTCAGAAGCTGATATCGAGTAAAACAGGCAAGGCAATCGAGGATGTACAAACAGCTATGGGAACAGAAGAGCCAGATGGAATAGTGAGTTTTGAAGAAGCGCTAGAGCACATCAAAGCTTCTACAAAATTGGAAGCTGAAGAAGAGCTGGTGTACATAGGATCAGGAAACTTTGCTGTTGTCTCGTATGAAAAAGAGCAGAAAAAAATATTCATACGTAGAAAGATAGAGTTTGAAAACACAGGTCTACAACGAGCATGGAAGGAAAAGCAGCTGTACAAAATTAGCAGTGTGGAAATACACGAAGCAAAATCTCTTTCACAGCTTTATTCTAAAGAAGAACTAGAAGAATTTATGAAACTATACTCATAATATGGTATACTTGTTTACATATTATAAATGAGAAGTATATGCCAATAACATAAACGAGGATATCGAAAGGATAGCGTGCACATATGACATACAACAAACAATATTTTAGCAGAGCACTCCTGCTTCTCCTGCTTCTATTTCCTTTATTCTTTCTTTCTTGCAGAAAAAACGTGTCTGCTTTTAACGTTTTTACCGCTGATTGGGAGCTGATAGAAGAAAGCGCTAGAGGTAAAACCGTATATTTCAATGCATGGGGTGGCTCTACGCAGATTAACCAGTATATTGCATGGGTAGCTGAGCGCGTAAAAGAGAAGCATGACATCAATCTTGTTCACGTTCTTGTGCAGGACAGTCTCAATGTTGCAAGAAGAATACAGCAAGAAAAAGCATCCGGACTTACAAAGAAGGGAAGTGTAGATTTATTCTGGCTTAATGGAAATTCATTCCAGCTTCTCAAAGAAAATAATCTGTTCTTGGGCAAGATACTCGATCTGCTTCCCAATAAAAGATATCTTGATAAGAATAACCCAGTACTGTTTGAGGATTTTACTGTTCCTACAGAAGGATTAGAGGTGCCATGGGGCACTGCCCAGCTTGGATTTTTTCACAGGTCAGATAAGGTTCCCCCATTTCATACTCTCGAAGAGCTAGAGTCAGTTGTAAAGAAGCACCCCCTGCTCTTTACGTATCCATCGCCCGAATTAGATTTTACAGGGAGAACATTCATCAAGAATCTTATCTATATTTTTGCAGAGGAGAAAGACATTTTCTATCTTCCCTACGATGACGCTGACAGTGCACACACAGCGGCTGTAACACGTAATGGCACTTGGAAGTATCTTGATGCTCTGCATCCGTATTTTTGGCGTAATGGAGAAAGATTCCCGAACTCATATTCAGAGATGATAACCCTCTTCAAGGACTCAGAACTAGAGTACGGCATTACATTCAATCCATATGATGCGGTAAATCGAGTGCTTATAGGAGAATTCTCTAGTGATGTTCGCATGTTTCTTATAGATGAAGGTACAGTAGCTAACGCACATTTTTTGACCGTGCCCTTTAACTCTTCGGTAAGCGATGCAGCGCTTGTGGTAATCAATTATCTCCTCTCGCCAGAAGCACAGGCACGAAAGGCACATCCCAAATACTGGGGTGACCCTAGCGTGCTCGATAGAGACAGTATGACAACTTCTGAGAAGGAGTTCTTTAGAAATGCAGCGTCTACTCACCCAGCATCACCGCCAGCATCTCTTGGAAAAAACACCGTGAAAGAATTTCATAGTAGTTGGGAAAAGGTAATCCAGGAATATTGGAAGGAAAGATACATCTCGTCTCGGGCACAGTAACACTGCAGTGCACTGCTTAAGATAAAGATGTTCTATCATAGGTGCTTGTGGAAAATCTAACACTTACTTCTCAAAAGATGCACAGGGTACCACTATACATACTACTGTTTGTTTTTATGCTACCGTTTGCTGGCGGTATGATACACATGTTCTTAGCATGCGTTGGGGTTACCCCAATTTGGCGTGCAGAGAGCACTGTATCGCTTGGCACAGTCTTTTCTAGTTCCATTATATATAGACAGCTACTCTATACATTTTTCCGTGCAAATCTTATAGCGATCGTGTTATTTGTATCTGTGTTTTTTTTAGGATACTTGCTATGCAGACGTTATAAAAAAAGACAAAATAAATTTTATATCTATTTCTTATCTATACCTCATGTTTCTTTGGCGTTAGGATTTTCGTTTCTTATTATGCCATCAGGTTTTTTCTTTCGTTCCTTGTCATTATTTACACATATTAACCCACGTACATTTGACACCATTCATGATGATTTTGGCATAGCTATGTCTGTGGTTGTTATTATAAAATTACTTGCTTTTATTATATTTGTTGTTATCGCTGCTTTGCAGGACTATGATTTTCAGTATCAAATATTGCAATCTAAGCTATTAGGGTATAATAGCATGCAAAGCTGGACCTTTATTGTTTTTCCACAGTTGCTCCCTAAAATGTTTGTGCCGTTTCTTATCTCAGTAGCATATGCTCTTGCTCCTGTTGATATTTCTATGATATTAGGACCTCGAAGCCCTTCGTCTTTTGATGTTATTATTCAGGAATTTCTACTGTCTGTGCATTACGAGAATTTTGTTATAGCTCATATACTCTGTGTTGCGTTATATATTGTCAGTGTAGCAAGCATTGGTATTTGGTACAGTGTATTTTACTTTGTAAAAAAAGTGTTAAGCCGTGGGTATATGCATCCACGTATTTTATTTAGAAATGATAAAAGGGCAGCAAGACTAAGCCATGCTCTTTTTATATTTTTTCTTGGTATTAGCATACTCTCTACGTTTATGTTACTCATATGGAGTTTTGTAGTTCGCTGGGATTTTCCAAACATCCTTCCTAATGTTGTAGGATTGCTTCAGACCCCCTCCTATGTATCCCGTTTTATGGGTTCTATAGGTACTTCACTGCTTATTGCACTGCTAAGCACCCTTATTTCTACAGTAATCGTGCTTATTCTGCTTGAGCAGCTGCATTATAATAACTGGAAACACCAGTTCATTGTGTTGGGATTTTTTATGCTTCCCATTCTTATTCCAAGCATAGTCTACATTTCAGGCGCACATATGTTTTTTCTTATCCTACGTATTAATGGCAGTATTTTTGCCCTTATATGGTCGCATGCACTAAGAATAGTGCCGTACATGCTTCTTTTTCTGTACGGAACATTTAAGACATATAATACCTATTTTGTAACGCAGGGAAAACTACTTGGAAAAAGCTACATAAATATCTTTTTCCGCATTAAACTTCCCATGCTAAGCACAGTTGTAGGATATTCTATGCTCCTGGGGGTATTGGTAAGCATTGCAGAATATGTAAGCACTCAGTACATTGGAGAAGGACGTTGGGAAACAGCAACAGTGCTTGCTGTAGTTCTGCATTCAGGAACTAGTCGTCAAATTATGAGTATATCAGGTGTTCTATTGATAGCACTTAATCTTGCAGTGCTTACTTTTGGTATGCTTATAGAAAGATTTCAAAAAGGTGTTCGGAAGGTGCGTGTATGAGTGCTTTGTTAGAGAATATTACTATCTCTTTGCGAACCTCTCGTGCTCAACCTCAACATATATTAATACAAAACCTTAGCCTTGCTATAGAGGATGGATCGGTGCTTACTGTTATGGGTAATAGTGGATCGGGAAAAAGCTCTCTTCTTAACTTTATCACTGGTGTTATAGATACGCATGCATTTGACTGTGAAGGAAGGGTAATTGTAGATGGGAGAAACCTCTGCCAAGTTCCAACAGAAAAAAGAAAGATTGGTTTTCTTTCCCAAGAAGGACTACTCTTCCCTCATATGACTGTAAGAGAGAATTTGCTGTATGCTGTACCAAACGCCTTGAAGAAGGAAGAAAAAAAAATCGTAGTACAAAACACCCTAGAAGACGCTAAATTACCCCATAGACTGGCATCTGTATACCCGCATACCTTATCAGGAGGTCAGCAGGCACGACTGGCACTTGCGAGGACATTGCTTTCGAAGCCACGCATGCTACTTTTGGACGAGCCCTTTTCGAAATTGGATACAGACCTTAGGGCAGCAATACGAGAATGGGTGTGGGGGAAAATAGAAGAAAATACCATTCCAGCAATCTTAGTAAGTCATGATCTCAATGATGTATACAGCTTGAAACTATTGCACACAATAGCTCACTAGCCTTGCTTATAGCTTCTGCTTCCGCATAGCAAAAGAAGGAATATGATTGTTCAGATAAGAAATAAGCGACTCTAATGAACGGTATTGTTCGGGTTTTGATGAATCGTAAAAGCATACTGATTCTAGATTTTTTAGCAAGGAATTGATATCGGTAATATTATTCTGCGTGTGGTCATGTGTAATTGAGAATACTGAGGGTAGTGTAGTGCTTTCTTTCTTCTCATGTTCAGCGCATATGATTTCTTCTAATTTCTCGCCAGCACGTAGCCCTAGCTCTTTAATATCTATTGTTTTCTGAGTATCTTTTATGTGTAACGCAGCAATCTTCGCTACAAAATCGTCTATACGTAGTTTTATTTCAGAAACTAAGATAAAGAGCTGTACACGCTTTGCGTGGTACTGTTGGTAAAGCTGGAGCATAGACGATGCTATCTCAGAGCAGTGTGTGAAATAGCGAAGACAGCGGGCATCAGTAATGGCAACGCTACTGTTTTCTACTATCTGCTCCTCAAACACTGAGATCACGCTGCCGCGTGACGCAAGTATATTGGCAAAGCGAACAATTATGATGTTGGGGCGTGGGTATTGAGAGCACAAAAGTAATTCTTCACATATAAGCTTGCTTGCACCGTATATGGAAATTGGCTCACATGCCTTGTCTGTAGATGGAAAAATGAAAGAAGAAACAGATGCTTCATGAGCGGCGTCTAGCAGAAATCGTGTAGCAAAAACATTAGATGCCAGCCCAATAAATGGAGCAGATTCAACTAAATCAACATGCTTATAGGCCGCTGCATGGATGATAATGTCGGGGCGTATGTCAGCAATAGTGCGCATCACCATATTTCTTTCTAAGAGCTCGCATAATACAGGATGGCAGCGTATTTGCGTCCCCACCCCCAAGCTTTGAAATTTCTTCATTCTCTGCACAGTAAGAAAAATACTATACTCTCCGTGCCCAAGAAGATATACATCACTTATATTAGTGTGTAGTAATTGAATGGCGAGTTCGCTTCCTAGCGTTCCGCCAGCTCCAGTAATAAGAACGCGTTTATTGTCAAGGGAACTGAGTAGGTTTCCGTTTATAGGAATCGCGTTATTCTTAAATAACACATCCTGCAGTTCTAGGATTTTGCAGTGTACATATTTAGGTTCTTCAATGTCGCTAAAGACCCTGGGGAGCACGCGGACAGTCATATGAGGTTGGGTACATTGCATGGTATACAAGTCTTGTAAGGTGTTTTGAGTAAGTTCGGTGCAGATAATACACTCTCTTTTGAGGTATCCATGAGGTTTTTCCTGCATAGCTGCTAAAGAAAAGGGGAGAACCTGCACTCCATGTATATGTGATCTGTGTGCTATATCAGTGCTTAAGAAAAAAAAAGAACGTGAAGGATATTTTTGCAAAAGATCACAGAGTAAAGATTCTGCTGCCTTGTTGGTGCCGATAATATAGTATTCTGTCATCTTCTGTTATCATAATATAGTAAATGTAGAGTATGGGAGTAAATAGCCATATTATACATAGCTTAGAATAGAAGTAACAATATAATTTTTAACTTTATTTGTAGATGATTTATACCGATTACGTAGTAAGGAAACTGTACTTATGAAGCCCAACTATCGACCTTTGTGTTCTTTTCTCATACTATTGCTGCCTGCGTTTTTGTACACAGCAGAGATCAATGCACAGAGCGAAGGCATTATAGTTGCTCCTGGCAAAAGATCGCAACCAGATGTGGTTCCTTTGGGGGAGTTTGTTTACTTAGAATCAGATCTCATTCGTGATACCGCCCCATCTGACGATATTTTTCATGCAGTAGCTCCAAATAAAGAAGTATATACATATTCCCATTCACCTGATAGGGACGCTGAAGAAGAAAATATACCAAACATCGACGGCTATGTGCCTTCTCATACCCCTCAAGCAGATGTAGATACCGCAGCAACAGCAGAAGATGCTCCAACACAGGCGTCTTCTCTAGAAGAGCAAAACACCAAAGAGGCAGCAGAAGAGAGCGATCCCCTCATAGCAGAATTGGAAGAGGGATCAACAGACCTACCTCCTCAAAATGAAATTACTACTGTTCCTAATGCTATAAATGTAGACCAGAAACCCGAAAACTTTCCCTTGAAGCCAGATTCAATTAGCATGGAAGATGAACCCAGTAATCTCCCTATAATGCCACAGAAGAATCCTGAATTAGAGGAAAAAAAACCAGGCGATATTCCCCAGCAAGTTGAGCTAGACAGTACACCTTCTGATGCAGAGCCCAAACAAGTACCAGGAACTCCGCCAGATACGCAATTTGAAATAGAAACCACCACACCATCCTTTCCTCCACTTCCCATACCCTCTGAGGAACACAACGAAGATATAGCCCCCAGTGCTACACCAGATGACATGCGTCCAGAACCTATTGAAGAACCTGTTGAGGAAACCCAACCAGAATTTACCCCAGAGTTCAATGAAGATATAGCCCCCAGTGCTACACCAGATGACATGCGTCCAGAACCTATTGAAGAACCTGTTGAGGAAACCCAACCAGAATTTACCCCAGAGTTCAACGAGGCACCTGAAACACTAGATGTACCAAGTGCAGAAGAAGTAGTACCTGAGCTTATTATAGACACTAGCCCCAAGATTGAAGAATCCTCCCCCGAACCCACAGTAGAAGAAAGTAGCCCTGAAGTAATCGAAGAAGAGCAGCCTACAGAAGCACCTGAGGAGGCACCTGAACCTACGCAGGCAATAGAACAAGACATAGAAGATCCAACTGCATTTGAAGAGACAAGCAGCATAGAACAGTTAGCTACACTAGGTGCTAAACGTTTTATTCAAGTACTTAGCAATAAAAGTTATGCTGCTATAGAAGATGCTGCGAAGCAAGAGATTTTAAGAGCTAAAGAGCAGAATTCACAATTATCAATATATAAGCAAGAGGGTTCAGATTTTTATAGATTGCTGATAGGACCGCTACGTCATGAAGAATTAGGGGTAGAATTGCTTTATTGGAGAAAGCATGGATTTCTAGATGCATATGTTATCTATGGGGATAAATAAGATATGCATCTCCCTGCAATAGGTGCGCTATACTTTAGTGAGCGCCACACTTGTTTATATAAGTAGAATGCAATATAAGTAGCACCAAGTTAGCGCCAAGTGCCATGCTAGTAATTTTAATTTGCTAGTAATTTTTGTATTTCTTTTGCGTACTCTTTATGTATGTAATATCTTTTAATTTTAAGCGTCTGAGTTAATTCTTTTCCTACAGTAAAAGAAGTGTGTATAAGGGTGAATTGTAGTATCTTTTCGTATGCGCTCAATGTTCTGGATATCTTTTCCAGCTCACTTTGTATTACATTCCTTATTTGCTGATCATTATATAGAACTTCAATTTCATCGTTTACTATGCCCAGTTCCTGTGCCTTTTTTTGCAACATTTCCTTATTGGGCACAATAAGTGCAGATAAGAATTTTTTATCCTGTCCTAGAACTACAACGTTATCAATATACGGCGATTGGAGTACAGTGTTTTCTACAAACTCCGGTTCTATATTTTTTCCATTGCTAAGTACAATGGTGTTTTTCTCTCTTCCGATTATTTTAATATCTCCCTTTGGCGACATCACCACTATATCCCCTGTGTTTAACCACCCATCTTTAGAAAGCACTTCAGACGTTGCTTTTGGGTTGTTGTAGTACCCCGCCATAACTTGGTCGCATTTAACATGCAAAACACCTTTTTTTCCTGCTTTTACAGGGTATCCATATTCATCTAAGACTTTATACTCCACATCTTTCAGTATTTTTCCTACACCATTGTATTCGGGGCGGTATTCGTTACGAACCGCTAGGACAGGGGAGGTTTCGGTAAGTCCGTAGCCATTGAGTAGCTTAATATTTGCTGCTTGGAAAAAGTCGTCAACACCTTGTACCAGCGAACCCCCACCCGATATCCCACACTTAAAATTAGGTCCAAGTAATTTTCGAATTTTCTTAAACACAAGTAAATCAAGCACAGCACGAATAGGGAAGAGAAGGTAGTACAGAGGATACCCTACAGCCTTTTCAATAAATCGAATACGATTAGCAGGGGTAAACGCAGGAATTGTTGCGTTTTTCAGATGTTTAATATAGGAATGCATCTTCCCAACAAATACCCCACTGGCAAAAAACAGTTTTTTGATAGGGGAGCCCTGTGAAACTTTTCTTTTTACAGCCTGATATACCCCTTCCCAAATGCGTGGTACCGAAGTAAGAAATGAAGGCTGTATATTTTTTATGTCTTCTAAAAACACAGAACCTATTGGTTTAGAGTACGCAAGACCCGCCCCAACGCATATTGTAATGTAGTTTACCTCCCTCTCAAAGATATGCCAAATAGGAAGTATGGTAAGGAGTATGTCTTTTGGATTAAGGCTTATCCGTTCTGGTACTACACGGTCTATTTGAAAAAGAAAGTTCCTATGGGTAATGCACGCTCCTTTTGGTTCATTAGTGGTGCCAGAGGTATATATTATTGTTGCAATATCGTCCAACTCCACTTTTTCAATCTTTTTTTCCATCATCTGTTCTTCTTGGGAGGAAATACTTGTTTTGGCGATATCCGCATAGTGAATAATTTTTGTAACAGTTTTTACTTTTGTTATTTTTTGCTTCGTTGCCGGATCAATTATAATAATAAACTTTAATTTTTTACAGAATGCAGGGCACTCTTTGTTAAGTGCAAGAAAAGAATCAATGTTTTCAAATATTACCCCTTTTACTTTTGCATGCTGCAAGATAAATGCTATCTCGCTTAGTTTTGTGTCTGTACCCCTCGGAACATCCACTGCCCCTAAAGACAGAATAGATAAATCGCATTCAAGCCATTCTTTTCTATTATCACAAATAAGCCCAATATGATCACCACTTTTCACGCCACAGTGCTTGGCAAGAAAATGAGCGGTTTTTAGTACATCCTTCATAAAAGCAGCGTAAGTGATAGGTGTGTATTTTTGATTGTCTGTTTTTGAATAACAGATGGTGTTGTCAGGGTATGTTTTGCTTATCTGCCATACCCTTTGTGGGATTGATGTATACATTACTCCTCCTTATATCCCAAGATGTAACTTTTATGCCGAGGTACCACCTTCGTTGCTTACAATGCACATCCACTGTGCTTCTGCAGCAAGAACGTTTGTAGTATTATGGTACGTCTTCCCTTTCTGAGAGATAACTCTTGTCCCAATCTTATTATTTTCAATTTCAAATCTTACCTGGTCCTTGGGATACACAGGCTTTCGAAATTTAACGTTGCTTACAGTTGCGAGAAAAAAAAGCATATTTGCAGAGTCCTCGCTAAGGGACATAATCCCAGCCCCGCCACATTGAGCCATAGCCTCTATGAGAATAACACCAGGAACAATAGGGTGATTAGGGAAGTGCCCAGGGAAAAAGAATTCAGTGACGGTAAATGTTTTTATCCCAACTATTCTTTCCTTGCTACACTCGATTAATTCGTCAACAAACAAAAAAGGGCTACGATGCGGTATTAAATCTACTACTTCTCTCATATATATATTATAACATAATTACAGTATGTATGTAGTTGCTTCGAAAACATGCCGCGGTATAGTAGTATATGTTGCTCCAATGGGGGAGATACATAAAAAAGTTGGAATATATACCGAGCAAGGTCTTCTGTATGCTGTTCTTTACGGTGCAAGAAAGAGTCGCGACCTTAATAAGCGAACCCTATCCCATCTCCTCATGGGAAATTTTACGCTCATTCAAAGAAAGAAGGGGATTACAATTAGCGAAATAGATGTGTACAGTCATGCTTTTGCATTAAGCGATTCGCTTCCCACGTACTATACAGCATGTGTATATGCAGATATTGTAAGAAGGCTAGTTGGGGCAGATCACCGCAAGCAGTTTAAGACCATTGTAGAGAGTGTTCTATGTGCCATAGAATACAAAGAACTGTACTGGAGAGAAACACTTGCGGTGTTTCTTTGGCAGAGCTTAAGAAATAATGGCTGGCAACCTCAGCTCCCTTCGGCATATAGTAACGCGGGTAGCGTTAGTGTCATTCTTGACTACTCAGGCAATGTTACAATTGAAGATACAAGGAGACCTTTGCGTAAAACAAGTGCAACTGCAGCAATAAGCATGCATAATTACACTCAGGCATACACTATGGCACACGAGCTCCTACATGCCCTCAATGTAGCACAAGGAAAAAAAATAGTAGAGCAAGTTATGCTGCTTTCAAAAATTTCCCTCCCCATTCTACAGAGCTTTATTCTCTACCTTATGAATCTTTGGCAAAGTTTGCTAGAAAAGAAAATAGAGATTTTCCGCTTTATTGTAGGATATGTATAAATCAATTTCAGTTCTGGAATGTATAATATAACGTAATGGATTGGATAAAAAGAGAAGTAAATAAAGAAATAGTAATACAACTGCATAAAGAACTAGGGATTCCCTTGCCTCTTGCAACTGTCCTTGTAAGGAGGGGAGTTATGTCCAAGGAAGAACTCCCCTTCTTTATTGAAGATGATAGTGCGTTTCTTCATAATCCATTTCTGTTTAGCAATATGGAGCAGGCTGTAGACAGGATACTCAAAGCCGCAGAAGAACAAGAAAAAGTGCTTGTGTTTGGCGACAAGGATGTGGATGGCATTACTGGAACTACAATACTTGTAAAGGCACTCAGAAAACTACACATAGATGTTCAATGGGAGGTGCCAGTGGGCAAGCATTCCTATGGTCTCAGTAATGATGATTTGCAACGTTATTATGATAATAATATAACACTTATCATTACTATTGACTGTGGTATAAGCAATCATCAAGAGATTGACTTTATATCTTCGAAGGGCGTTGATGTGCTGCTCTTTGATCATCATGACCCTAGAGCTACTATACCCAATGCGCACACTGTACTAGATGCAAAAATAGAAGGGCAGAATTATCCGTATCTCTATATTTGTGCTGCAGCACTAGCGTACAAGGTATACAGTGCCTTACTTTTTTCGCAAACAGAGTGGTATCAGCAAGAGGTATGCCTACTGCATGCAGTTCCTATGCACCAAGCACTCAATATAGAATTAATCTGTGTACGAAATCTTACCTGCAAGTGGAAGCGAACTATTACTGTAAGCAAAGATATGCCACATGCAGCAGAAGAGCTAGCAAGAGCCGTGGGAGATCTGGCTCTTTTTACTTATAATGCAAAGCAGCAGATGCAGCTACTCAATAAATTTCTTGGCAATTCATTAGAAATATACTTAAGCGATTTGCAAGAACAGTGTGAACAGCAATTCCCTTCAAGCAAAGGGAAGTCCTTACTGCAAATAAGAGAGAAAGAGCAGTATACCAAGTACAGCGAAAAGACCCTACAGGAAATTGATGTACTCTTTCTCATTTTTTATCGAATGATGATGAAAACACTTCGTTGCTTTGCAGAGTCTGAGGAAGATGTAATGGATTTAGTAGCCTTGGCAACTGTAGCGGATATTATGCCCTTACATAACGAAAATCGCATCCTCATAAAACGAGGTCTTTCTGTGTTGTCAACACAGCCCAACCAAGGACTACTGGCACTACTGAGAGAATTAAAGCATCATGACAAAAAAATTGAAAGCCAAACATTAGCGTGGAAATTAGCCCCGGTGATAAACGCGGCTGGGAGACTAGGCAAGGCAGATACAGCAGTAGAATTATTGCTCTGTCAAGAGGAACAAGAAACAGAGTCTCTTGCCAAAACGCTTATGGATTTCAATAAGCAACGTATATCGCAGATGGATGGCATAAAAAAACAAATATATGCTACAGCACAAGAAAAATTAGAGTATTACAAAGACTTTATTCTACTACATAATGTACAGATTCCATTTTCTTTCACAGGCTCTGTGGCAAATACCCTGCTTCGTACCCACCGCGTTCCCACAATAATTATTACTCAACGAACAGAGGGCGTTATGAGCGGCTCTATTCGCTGCGACTCTTTTATGAATGCAAGCGCACTTATAGAAAGCATGAGAGACTTGCTTATTGATGGGGGTGGGCATAGTGCTGCTGGGGGTTTCTCCTTTGAGGATGCACAGCACGAAAACGTTATGCGTTTTCTAGAAGAGCATGTAAGAGAGTATATAGTAAGCGAGGAAGAGGGAGCGACGGAGAATGTTGAAATTGACCTGGAGCTTCCACAACATTATTTTAATATTAATGAACTAAAAACTCTTGCGCAGACCCTAGAGCCGTATGGAGAAAAATGGCAGCAGATTCGTATCTTACTAAAAGCTGTAGAACTGGATAGAGTAGATGTCATTGGGAGCTCCTTACAGCATATCAAGCTTATCCTTAAAATTAGAGAATACAAAGTAGTCGCCTTGATGTGGAATTACTCTGAATTTTCAGTTACGTATGAGCAGCTAAAAAATACACGTACTTTATCATTGCTTGCACACATTAAGCTTGATACATATAATGGCATAGAACAATTTACTTTTATTGTAAAAAATCTCATGTTTGATTTGGAGCAATGAAAAACAAAATAACAAACATAGATGTTTTTTCTCGGGTCATTAAATACATGAAAGAAGCATGAAAGAGCGAACAATAATATTCTTGCTGTTTCTCTGTACATGCACACTATATGCATTACTATGCACAGAGGTATTTGCACAGAGCACAGGTGTAGCCACAAGTCAGCTTCTACTTGAAAAACAACTGCATCTTAGCATAGATCGTATACCTTTTTTGCACAGAAATACCGCGACAGCATTGGAATGTATAACAGGAGAAGTAATTGCGGTTGTGTTTAGCAAGCAGGTTCAGACTCGTCATCATGTTCAGTTGCAGCACAAAAAGGAAACAATACTCACTGCTCCTATTCTTGTAAAAGAAGAAAGGCAATTTGCAGTACTTGGTATTCCAAGCACATTAGAAACGGGGTCGTATGTTCTTGCGTTGGCTGATAATAACGGTCTTATCGAAAAGACGAGTACACTCATATTTATTAGAAAACGTGATGTGGAAGTGGAAGATATTACACTGAGTACTGTGCTAAGCAAAAGAAGAAAGACGCCCCCTAGCCCAAGAGTTATAAAAGAAGCCCGTACTTTGTGGAGCATTACTGCAGAGCTACGTGAAAATGATTACTTTGCCTTCGATCAATATATCTTCCCACTTAAGAAATACACATATGTCACTGGGCTATATTCTCAGGCGAGACGCTTTATGGATCAAGCGGGCTCATTGATAGATAAGACTATACATGGGGGCGTGGATATTGCTGCCCCTATGGGGACAGAAGTGCTTGCTTCTGCTCATGGCAGGGTGGTATTTGCAGACCACAGGCAAGTAACAGGTAATACCGTGGCTATTTCTCATTTTCCAGGACATTACACATTATACTATCATCTGAGTAGCATAGATGTAGTAGAAGGGGATGTAGTAAGGGCAGAAGACACAATAGGAAGGGTAGGGAACACAGGTTTTTCCACCGCATCTCACCTTCACTGGGAATATAGGGTAAATAACGTAAGAGTCGATCCCTTGTTGGGCATGGGGGTGCTTGACAAAGTCTTCGTAATAGATGTACAGTAATATATGTAGGTAGTGTATCTATAAAGAATGCGCTAAAATAAATAAAGGAGGTATGTAATAGCACATATAGAGGTGGGAACAAATGAACCGATAGAAAAAGCAATTAAGCGCTTTAAGCGTTTAGTTGATAGAGAAGGTATTATTCGAGAATGGAAAAAAAGAGAATATTATGAAAAACCTTCGACTATTCGTAATAAAAAGAAAAAGACCCTGGAACGAAAGATAATAAAAAAATTACGTAAAGCTAAGCCATTTTTTTATAACAACTAACTAGTAGCACTAGAGATAGTGTAGTAAACACGTATATGTTACTTATGAATACGTATTTCTCAACCGCTTACAGTGCAATATGCCTTGCTATTGTGGTGCTGTGTTTCTCTTGTAGCAGTGCAGATCCAGTTATCTACGATATGAAATGGAGCTTGCAGATTCATAGTCATATGAATGGCGAGATCTACGAAAAGCTTTCAGTTCATATTTTAGCTGATGACGAAGATGGCTTCGACGAGATCTACGAGTTATATGTCGTACACGATGAAAGCGAGAGATACTGGCGAATAACAAAGGACGAATGGCAGATCCTAGACATTGAAGGTGTACAGTGGATACTTGTCAGCACCATTGTTCCAGAGAACTACCACATCATGCCGCGAGGAAAATACCGAGTAATGATATTGGATTTTTCAGGGTTCCGGGATGAAAAAACGTTTTTTATCACATATAACTACCCCCGCTCACTGCTTGCTCAGGGGGATGTGTATTCGTTAGATGAGAAAAGATCTATTCAAAAACGCTATTTTCCATTTTTAAGAAAACTCAACAAGAGTAGCTACGTCCCACTTATAGACAAAGCACATGCAGAGCAAATATCTGGAGACCTTTTTCTCCAATTACAGCACCCAGACCAAGTAGTAAACAGCGAAAGAAACCCACTTACAGAGTCTCGCAGATTACTGATATCTCAGTTTGGGAAAAACGGAGCACTCTTTCGTATTGAGCCCAACAAAAAGCTTGTGCTTAGTTCGGAAGCGACAGTTGGATTTAAGGCCTACCTTCATTATCGCCTCGAAGATGCTGTCACTTTTTCAAGTGGCCCCTACACTATAGGATTGGATAAAGGCGTGCGTATTTTTACCGAAGATATAAGTAAGATTGTTGATGAATACTCTAAGAACCCATAAGCACATCTGTGTTTTTGCAATAAGTACAATAAGCATGCTATTTCTCGTTCCTGCTCTACCAGCTCAGTCGGAGTACTGGTGGTCAGTGGCAAGAAATCAAGTGCTTGCAAAGAATTATAACGAGGCCACAGTGTTCTATGCACAGGCCGTCACTCTTTTTCCTGCTGATGCGTTGCTACGTGCAGAATATGCATATACGCTGCAGCGGGCAAATAGAATACAAGATGCGATAAACGAATACTATACCGCTATTGGTCTTCAAAATATAACGAGCGATGAAATAAGTAGCATAAAGTTTAATATCGCTGTAGCCTATGCTCAATTAGAGGAATACAAGAAATCATACGCTGGTTTTACCGAGCTTATCAAAAGAAATCCTGGGTATTCTGAGGCATTGCTTAACAGAGCAAATCTTGGGGTAATAATGAAAAATTATCGCCAAGCAAAAGACGATTATGTGGCATATTCCCAGCTTATCCCAGAGCAGGAGCTTGGTGCTAATGTACAAGATATGATTGCAGCCCTAGAAAAATACGCTGTACTTCCCACGACAGGAACGCTAGATAAGGAAGCCTATAACAAGAAAAAACGCTACGAAGAAGAACTCAACCGCTATCTTCATTCCTTAGAACAAGATCCCATGTTTCTCCCAAATTCTTTCCTAGGAGAAGAATAGGTAAGGAGAAACGCACACTTTTGTGTTGCTTTTGTGTAGCTACAGCAGCTCACTCAACACTGTGCCCAGTATCTGCATAGCTTTGCGCATTGTTGTGTGGCTACAGTTAAGTGATGGTGCTATGCGAAGTCCATCGCTCCCCGTACGAAGAATAAGCAAACCTTTCTCTCTGCATCTACTCAGTATTGCTGGAATAGTACTACTATCCAGTTTCTTATCGAGGCGAATACCCCGAAGGTGTCCAGCACCCAGCACACTAAGACCACTGTGCTGCACACAGATATCTTGCAGCATAGCGTATAGCTGCTGAGCTGATGTGTTTCGCTTTTCTTGAAACTTCTGAGATCTCAGTACAGAGAGTGTTGCGAGGGCGACTGCTGCAACAAGGGGGTTCCCGCCAAGGGTGCTCCCATGGTCGCCAACGCGTAGCATGTCTTGAATGTCTTTACGATATAGTACAGCTGCAGCGGGTAAGCCCCCACCCAGTGCTTTTGCAAGCGTTATGATATCTGGGCGAAGCCCATAAAGTGTAGAGGCAAATGCAGAACCACAGCGATATAGTCCTGTTTGCACTTCATCAGCGATAATAAGGAAGTGAAATTTCCTTGCCAGAGCGTGCAGTGTGTGTGCCATCTTATTATCGATACTGCTAAGACCCCCCTCTCCCTGTATAAGCTCTACTATTACAGCAGCAGTATTTTCGTCTATTGCTGCTCCTAGAGCATCGCAATCATTATACGGAACATGAATACAGTTAGGAAGAAGTGGGGCAAAGGCATGACGGTATTGTTCCTGTCCAGTTACCGACAGTGCTCCCAAGGTTCTTCCATGGAAAGAATTGTGAAAGGAAACAAAAACGTTCTTTTTCTTCTTATTTTTGCGATATGCAGCAAGACGGGCAAACTTGAGTGCTGCTTCATTAGCTTCGGTACCACTATTGCATAGAAAACATGCAGAAAAAGGGTTCTGCAAGATACTGGTATCGCCTCTAGAAGAAAATTCCGTGCATGCAAGTGTGGCGAGCTCCTTTGCTAGGGCAATGTATGCTTCACTTGCGAACAAATTTGAACAGTGCATTATTTTTTTTGATTGTATGTGTATGGCGCGGAGTATACTAGGATGAGAATGACCAAGAGATTGCACTGCAATCCCCCCACAGAAATCTATGTAGACAGCACCAGCGGTATCCCACACACGATCACCTTTTGCTTTACTCAGGACTATATCAGGAGCATAAACGCTAGGGAGAAAAGAAGAGTTTTGCTTCGCTGTATCTGCTGTATGCATAGTAGTATGGGCGCTCGATATATCTACAGCACCGTTATTGCCTGTTCTCCTTGTGTGGTTTCTATGAGTCATGTGCGTTGTGCCACATTGTGTTACTCAATGCGTGTCCCTTGCCTACCCTGTAGCAACTCTAGAAAATCTCTTTGCTTCGTGTAGTTTCCTATACACACCTGCTCTACTTTGGATTCTTTCGCCTTGCACGCTGAAAGAACCTTTACTCTCATTCCAAATTCAATAACACCACTCTGTGTTAATGTTGTAGCTTTCTCTCTCCCCATACTAGGCAGCAGGCGCTGTTCTTCCATAACTCCCTCTACATCAGAAATAAAGATAAGAGCATCCGCACGAGCTGCTATTGCGAGTTCTGAAGCAAGCTCATCGGCGTTTATATTAAGAGCACGAGCCTTCCCGTCACTTGCAACTGAATTTATAACTGGAACATAGTGCTGTTCCAGCAGTAGCAAGGGCAGTGTTGGATCGCAGGAAAGCACCGTACCTGTATGGCTATCCCCGCTATGCCCGCTATGTACTTGTGCCAGCACCATTGCTCCGGCACTTGCACTCAATCCTATTGCAGGTATTTGCAATGTCAGACATGCATGGACGAGGTCGCTGCTTAATTGACCCGCAAGTATACGTTGTGTAGCCTGCATAGCACTAGCAGAGGTACTACGATTCCCATGCTCATCAAACGAGAATTGTATGTTATGCTTTCTGCAATACTTACTGAGTGTGGCTCCGCCTCCATGCACAATAATGTAGCGACTCTTGTTATTTGTGCAATAGCCGTGCAGCTCAGAGAGAAATAGCATAAGAAGCTTTTTATCACTAAGTAACGAACCACTTATCTTCACTAAAGTAAGGTGCATGTATACAGTATATGCTATTGTATATAATAATTATGGTTTGTTTGCATCCGTATATTGTGTTTGTAAGCACCAGGTCTATCACGTTCTATGATGTAGGCAATGTAGGTGCTGTAAGCAGCCATATATAGCATGCGTACACTAAAAAGGGCAGTATAGATAACATATGTATTGTACATTACAGTATAGGCAACGACAGCTCACGCTAACAATAACAGGTGTATTCTTCCTCTTCTTGTCTTCTGTTACTCATGCAGAGTATCGCAGTTGGGAATCTGAAGCCCCCTACGAGGCTTGGTATTCTCATGTAGAAGGCGGTTTTATGTATTTATATGAACTGCAAGATACCGACTTTGTTCTAGATTTGATAGATGTTGCGCATACCTATAAGAAGGAGATACAGCATATGTTTCAGAATTATCTTCCCCAAAATCACATAGTCCCTGTTATTATCAACGGAAGAGCTCAGTATCCCAACGGCTTCTTCACAAGCTTTCCTCACGCTATTATAGTGCACACTGCATCTCTAGGGAACACAAAAGTTGACGAAAGCTGGATACGTTATGTTTTTATTCATGAGTTTGCACACTATCTTCATATATTCGCCTCTGAGGGCGTAGCTGCAGAATTTGCGACAATCTTTGGTACTGGTGCAATGAGTATTAATGCCTTGTATCTACCTCTCTGGCTTATTGAAGGCCTAGCAGTGCATGTAGAGAGCGAATTTTTCTCTTCTGGGCGCCTCAATGATCCTTTCTTTATACTTCCCACAAGGGCAGATATACTCCTCCACACCTTACCCGCATACAACATTTCTTCCTTACCTACAAGTTTTGAAGTGCAATTTGGAAAAATATATCAGTATGGTGGTTTTCTGTTTCGTCATATGAGTGAAACATATGGTATTGATATGTTTATTGATAGCTGGAAGCAGTACCTCCATTCTCCTATTCTCTTTGAAAGAAAGGTAGAAGAACAGTATGGTGTAAGCTTAGAGAGCATACATAACGATATGAGGAGAACATTATACAAGCGCTTTATATCAGAATCGGGAAGCTTCCCACGCGGTGAACGTATACACACTAGAAGCAGTGAGGATGAGATGCTGTCCCTTGTAGGCAATACAAAAGATGGGGTAGTGTTTTATGCTTCTGGTGCGTCTCAGAAACGAAGATTTATGCTCTATAATTCCGAGTCAAAAAGCGTTAAAGAGTTAGTAAGTGTCCCCGTACAAACAACATTCTTTGGTACAGGATTTTCTGATATAAGCT